TGGAACACTTAAAAAAGATCACATGGATTAGGGAGGCTTTTGAAAGGTTTCTTGGGTCAAAGGCTTTTTTAGTTAGCCCAAACAGATTAAGGTATTTTTTGACCGGATTCTTAAAAGTAAGGCTCTCAATGCAATTTTCCAAAATTTTAAAATTGATATGGCAGAGAAAACATTCTCCTCATTCTAAGTACTATCATCTTGGCAAAAACATGCAAGCATATATTTTTTAGTGTTCATACATATGCATGTCATTTGTGTCCTTGTGCAAGAATCAAGAGTGTAGAATGTATGGTTCATAAGACAAGCACTCGGTTTACTATTATTCAAATGGAGGGTAAGAACACAGCATAGCAAGACTCTGAGCAAGTTTGGAAAGTAAACCTGCTTAAACGATTTTTGGTTAGCACTTAAAGCATGGGATCGAAGCAACCCCTCAACTGCATACTCTTGTAACATGGGACTATACATTGAACGAAATGACTCAAAACTTCCTCGAACAATCTTATTGACCTGCCATTGAAACATAGAAATGTCAGATTTAATAAACAAAAATAGGTTGCAAAAACCTAAAAGAGGAATAAACTTTACATTTTTGAGCTATAACCTTGGTAGCACTATTAGAAATCTGTAAACATGCAACAAGAACAACGAAGCTTTCCCAGATTTTTTAGGTGGGCTATCAATCCTAGTGGCCAAGGTCTTTAAAGATTTAGCTAAATTCGTAAATCATAAAAAGCCATTTCACAAAAGTATAGCACCTGAATTATTAAAAAGAAGTTCAATAAGCAATCATGTATCAAAACATGTGCTTACTAACATTCAAAGATCTGAGAGAATATGCCAGTAAGTTACAATCAAATGCTACTCTTGGTCTACCCAGGAAATAAGTAACAGACAAGTGAATTAGGGACCAGTATCTAAGTTTGTATAAGGCAAGTGAACACAAAAAACAAACTTTAAGTTGTCTATCAACTTTCCATAAGTACCTTATTGCATTGTCTTATTCCAATGCACTGAAACTTCTAAGGCGAAAATGTCTGCATATATGCTTATCTCCCTATGTCCATGTCCAGCATGTACTCAGCGAATACTTGCTAGACTCCAGACACTTCTCTAACTTGTTCTCAATTTCATAACATATTTTAAAATTTGGAAACTATTGATACAGTTCTATGAGCTATGATGCATTTTAAATACTTCCTATAAGCTCTTGATTTAACAAACATCCTCACATTTCAGATTAGCTTGACGTGTTGGACACTAGGTACACTTGGAGGCTTACAATAGTCAATAATCCAAATTGTACCTCGACAACATCTCGAGTTATCATGTCAAGAAGATATTATCTTTCCACTCAATATCAATCCCTTGTATGAAAAATCTCAAATCACAACCACACCTAGTAAAGATCTAAATGAATCTTACCAAGCTACACAGTGATTCATTATTTTCAAAATTTAATGCACACCTTTGCATGAGAACCCACAAAACACGAAAGTGATTTAGTATCAATATTGAAAAGGTTTCCCCAGGGAAAGCTTCTAGATAAATGAAAACTTGACATTGCACCCATAATCGTGAACAGTTGAAAATGCAAGATTACAATCGTATTGATTAGTAATTCACAAGAATCTAAGTTGAACCATAATATCTTACACATTAAACTTTCAATAAATTCTTGATCAACTACCCTGGGCAATAATACATATCTTAGGTCAAAAAATGTTGCTCTAATTTATTTTCATTCTTAAACAGACGCTTTACTGATATTAAAAGTATGGGTATTAATTGCAAGGTTTCTTTTTTTTAGAAAAATAAGAAATGTGTAGTGCCAGTGGACCCAGTACTGTTGGAGGGATCAGGGATGTTAGTAAGAAGCCACGTATGCGCGAGATCATAGCCTCATAAGAACTAGCTTAATAATCAATTCTCATCAAAGATAACTGTATGAAATTTCAATTGGCTAACCTTATTTTTGTCCTCCGCAAAAAGCATGCGTAAATCACCCGTGTACGATAGACTGCATATCTTAGCGTATAAATCTTCCTGTACAAAAGAAAGATGAATATGTTGCAGTGTAAACAGGTGCAGTGAACCTATGAATAAACATCAAGCCATACCTCACTAAATTCAGGTGGCAAAAGGAGGAGAGCAGCAGAAGTTGCTGATTTTAAGTTAACTAAGTTCGCCTTTCTTATGTCCCAGTTATCAACAAGGACATGAACCTGCAGATCAGTAAAAACTGAAATTTAAAAATAAGAGAAGGAATATGATGCATATAAAAGTATCTAAAAGTAGATAGGCAGATTCATTGAATAATACTGATATAAAAAACTGCAAATGGACAATTCACAGGATCATGATGAACAGCGGCATGAATAAGTATTTAAGAGGCGCAAATAAATATAAAAAATAGGACATCAATAAATTCAAGAAGCTTCTAACATAAGAATTCTATAAAAGGTATCCACATAAAAAAGGAAATCTGCATAAAGAGAAAATACTATATAACTATCCCAATATATTCTGTCTCAATCAACGATGTCTCAGTAAATTCCGTCTCGACCAAAAATTTACTTTTCCAGAGAGCACACTTGACAGGGAAAAGCTAGCGGATGTAGTGAGTCCAAGATCAAACTACAGTCTTTCTTTAAGAAAAAAATATTTTTTCATTTTCATGGTCGTAAAATAGAGATTATTATAATAGACAGTCTTGATCTAAAAATATTAATGAGATCCATTTGTCGAAAAGCTACCAGCAGAATAATGTTCCCATGAAGTGGATGAAGTTCTAGAAACTACTATATGTCATTCAACGGAGATATTTGCTGATTTCTACCTACATCGTGCTGGTTGTACCAGGAATATAAGAGCCATCAAGCTAACTAAAAGAGCACAGTTTGCCCATAATTAGGTGAGGAAGATCACGGAAGTATCTATGTATACAAAAAATTAACTAAAACTTAATATGCAGTTGAGAAAATTGATAATCAGAAATTTTATTTGAGCAATAGTTTTAATTCTCAGACAATTTAAATTTTCTTAGGCATGACTAGAAAAGAAGAGCTAAGAATCGATATAGTTTGTTCTGTTCCTGCTAGGAACCTTATTTGTGTTGGGTTGGTAAATAGGAAATCTTCTATTTCCACACTTTTCAAAGACTCAATTCACTAGCTGTCCATAAATTTGTAATAATATTTACATTCAAGACAATATAGACTATATAATAAAGATATCAATTTAGCAATTTTACACCAGACTCTTGAACAAATTGGCAAACCAAGAGAGATATAAAGCTGGTATATTATGATTAACGAAATGCAGATAATACAAGGTGGCTGCAACAATTAAACAAGAAAGCCAAATCCACCAAGCACACCTCAAATATCGACATACAGGTTTTTGCAGACGACCACACAGGAAGAACTTGTCCCACGTCAATACTTCTCGTGCCAAATCTTGTACCCCTACTACTCCATACTTTATCTCCTGTCAGATGGTAAATACTTCAAACCTAGATGATCCAATTTAACATGTCAAGAAGAAAAATGAAAAGAAGGAAAAACGTTCTGTGCATAAGAACCTTGTTTTTCCATTCAACAAATGGATTGAAATGCACCCCTGCACCAATCCTGTTCGCCACCCATGCAAGCTGCACACACCAAAAAAATAAAAATAGATTATGCTTCTATTATGCATATCATGAAGTAATCATGATATTCTGGACTATCTTAAGTTTATACAGTTTGACAGGTAAAATACCATATCAAAAACTATTATCCTACCAGAATATCATGATATCAGAATATATTCTGATTTTTTCATTTTGCATTCTAGGATATCATAGCTTCAGGAAAATAAACCTGATATTTTGACAGCATGCATCAAGACAGACCCTAAGCCGGGATATTTCCACAACCCTCAAGAGTTAGAGAAAGGTGCTGCGGTCCCCATTCTTCAATTTAATAACTAAACCTCTATAAAATGAAAGGAAGGTCCAAAAGTTGACTGTCAAAGACGCCAAACTTGAAAAGAAGATGTAGAGAATTTCTGGAGATTACCAAACTATTAGCAATCTGGTCTGTAACAGAAAGATATCTGATACAGGATAATCTAACTAAAAGCTTCTTGCTAAGAAGGGAGAATCAAACTCATTGTCTATGGTTTACAATAGATTAAATAGATTACACAATATAAGATAGCTGGAAATGAGTGATTGCTCCCAAGTTCAATAGAAGATGATCAGCTGAGTTCGTACTAGGAGATCACAATATATCATAGGTTTTGAAAAGTTTGTTAGCTCTTTGAAGCATATAAATGACAATCTGCAGGATACTCTATAAGTTATTGGTCAAGTATGTGAAATATTGGAAATCAGTGAAATAATGGATTAATATTGGATAATTTGAAGCTACTGCCCTGGTTGCAAAATAGGTTTGCATTGGAACCATGGAATCTACTTTTTACTGTCATGAAAATGTTAACTTCAAATAAATATGAAGTACTAGCATGCTCCTGGCACTTGTAACCATTTCAACTCATGAGTTAACATCACATGAAAACGCGTTCTATAAGCTCCATAGATATCACCCATCTACCATATGTACGAAGCCAGTCGTAGTATTTTAACGTGGCATTTACCATCAGCAATTTGGCATCTGTATTTCAACCTATTTTACTAGAAATATGATCAATTTGGTTTCCCAATATCAATCTCAGAACATAAAACTCAGCCAGTGCCCATTTCAATGTTACTACACCAGTAATTCCAGTTCACCTGTCAACAACGTAGGTGTTAATTATAGACTGTATGATTTTATCTTCAAAAGGTTAAATTATTTTCCTGCACCTATTATCCGTCAAAATAATTAGGAAATCATGGTTTTCACCTAATTTTCATATTACTTTCTTGGCATAAAAATACCGTGCATATGAACATTCTTTCCCCTATTTCTTTCTTCGAATGTAAGCACCTGACACTACAAGGTTGCTCATTTATTTATCTTCAAAGAGACATGTAGAAGTGAAATGTAGAAGATTAAGAGTGTATGTTATTATCAAGGAAAGCAAGATTTAGTTTTACAAAACTAGATTTTTGTGATTTGATCCATAAGAGGGGAAATTAAAGAATGCATAGAGTAATCAATAAATTTTCCATCAAAGCAAACCACTGGACAAAAATTAGCATGGTTCTCAAAACTTATATGAAAGGGTTATACACCCCTAACGGAGAAAAATTACATCACAAACATTATTTATCAACAAGTAATTATATTTAACACGGCCCAATACTATTTGATGCCCAAGTCTAATCCTAAAGAAACTTAAATCAAGTATTTAAAATAACAGAATACACACACACACACACACACAGAGGTTAAAGAACACACCGCTTTGGGGCCGAGACCTGCCATAAACTTTGAGTAATGGTGCCTGTTCCTTTCCAAATTCTGAAATTTCCCCAAACCCCAATTTTAGCAATAATCCATAAGAATGACACAAGGTATCAAATTAATTACCAAGAAAACTGAATAAATCACTTACTTTGGAGTGCCATTCGATAGGATCAAGAACCCCTAATATGTAATCCACCATTGAAGTCTAAAACAAATCACAGTAGTAAATAATGAGAATTAACTGTAAATAGGCGGGAAATAGTCAAATAGAGAGAATAGAACCTTGTCATTGTTGTTGGAGAGGAGAGAGGATCCATAGGCGCAGCAAAATTCCACGGGCGGGAGAATTTGGAGAGGAGTTGCAAGCTCCAGCGATTTTGGATCCATCGTGTGATTTTCGAGAAGCAGCGAATTCTATCAAATTTCTGCTCGAGACTTGATTTCGGTATTTCATGAGAGAGAGAACCAGGGCTTTGGGTTTGGGTTTAAAACAGATCACGTATCCCGACGGGCCCAGATCCAAACACAACCCATGAAATGGAAACATTTTTTGGCAGCCAAAATTGTGATTTAAGTAACGGTTAATTTCACAAGGACACCCCTGAACTTTGGTGGTGTTGCACCAAGCCGCCGGAAACTTTGTTTATGTCACATAACTCCCCTAAACTTTTGGGTGTCTAACAAATTGCCGTAAACTTAACTCGCTACACTCCCCCTCTGTTATGGTGTTCCCATTCGTTGAAGTGCAAGCTCATTGCCAAGCAACGGACAAGTGTGTTTATACATGATATGCCCTAATCAACTTGGCGACCAGAGACCAGTAGGGACGACCACTCCGCCGACTCGATGACTCAACATTTCTTCATGTTGACTCAAAAAGGCGAAATTTGTCGCCCCCTTTTGTCGAAGATGACTCGCCACGAGTCCACTCGACTATTTGCCAGACGCCTAGCGAAGTCGACTCGAAAGATGTAACTTCTCAGCAAAGGCAAATAACATCTTCTGCTTCAAGCTTATCCTCGCTGACAACATGACAACATCGCATTTAATGCATGTCAGTCGCATCATGCCTCTGGCCTCGATAGCCTTCATGACTCATCGGACCACGTGGACCCTGCTATGCCGCCAGTCACTTCCCATTTAATGCCGGAGTGATCTCTCTTCCAGTCGTCTGCCGACACCTGTAAAGCAGAGACCGACTCAGCTGTCAGCCCATCCTTTGTCACCGTCCTCATGTGCTTGGCCGAAGTAACCAATTTACCCTTATACCATATGTATAAATGCAGGTATTATTCCAACTTAAAAAGGGATTTTTTGATCTTTGAGACCTTTTTTGGAAGACTAATCTCAGCGCAGAACATATTGCACACACAAGAACTCATACAGATCTTCTTTTCCCCACTCAAGTTCATCAACTAACTTGACCGTCAAAGGAACCACGGGGAACTAATCCCCACCCTCTTACGTATTTCTACATGTGCAGATCTTTTGATCACCCAATCCGAGAACATGACATAAAGTAAAGGAAGAAAGTGCCCCCTCATCAATCATCAACAACCTCATCCAATCCTAGATGCAACTGAAAGTGTGATCATATAAACCATCAACACCCTCAATCTGCAAAAAACTAAAAATTCTTTGAGAAAAAACTCATCTTTTACTGGAGGGATATGTTGCTAGTAAGTAACAGAGGACAAAGTGCAATAAATTTTTCGCCCAAGGAAAAATTAGTTATTCGTAAGTTACGGACATGGGAGATCCGAATAGAGAAGATTAAAATTCAAAGGGTTTTTGTTAGATGCTCGAATTTTAGGAGGATTATGTGAGATAGATAAAGTTTTGGAGGGTTTGTGCACAACAACCCCAAGTTCAGTGGGAATTTTGTAAAATTAACCATTTACTTAAATGTTGAAACTAGTTTAAATATTATATGCATCTCTAAGGTTTCAAAGAAAAGAGGCGATGTGGCCCCAATTAACCTCAGAAAGAATGTTATATTCTTTCTTGCGTTAGTGTTATCTTCTTATTTGGTTAGTTGTCATATGTCATCGAATAATTAATTGAATATATATTTATATAATGACAATCATGTTTAAGAAAACCCCTAAAAAAAAAAAACAGAAAACTTGTGTTACAAGGCCTGTTTCCTTTTCTTTTCTTTTCAGTGTTATAAGGCCTTCCGTCTCTCTATCTTTGTCTTAATTTGTCGCTATGACCTGCAACAAAATTTAATTGTTCTTACGCATGAACTTATACAATTTGTTCATTTTTCATTTCTGTAGATTATATATCTACTTTTATTTCTTTTATTTTTTCCCTTTTTTATTTGTCTGGTTGAAATTTAACATTCGTACTTGGCGTTTATTTCATTCACTCTGCCCTCTAGGATTGCGTTTTGATATACAAGAAGGTCATAAAAACTCAAGTAAGGTCTTTCCTTACCTTTCGTCACCGAGATGACTAGTGAAATTCTTTGAACGATTACATTACATAAAATAATTTGATTAAATATAGGTCATGGCATTAAGTACTTCGTTTTTTTTCTTGTACTTTCAAGAACATTATGGAAAGAGCTATATCGTGCCATTTTGGTTTGCCTGATTGCTTCAATTCTAATATATAACACCTACAATGTCAACAAAACATGTAAATTAAATCAGAGAATTTTTCTTCGATTGCATATTCAAAACTCTTTATATCATATCTATCTACCCTTTAAAAGAGCGAGTTCCTGAAAAACTTTTCCCTCCCCAAATTAACCTTCAACCGAATTAAATATACCAATCTTATCCCTTATAACATCATCAGAAATCAAAAGCCCTAAATGTTCCTTCGGTTACGCCATCTCTCCGCCTTCTCCTCGGCCCATCTCCTCAGTTCATCGGTTACGCTTTCAAAGATGATTATTATTGTCCTAATCATCAACGCTACTCCGCCATCATGTCCTCAGTTCTCAGAATCTTGGCATCGTTTAGAATCAGCAAGGAAGTTCATTGAAGAAGGTATTTCTAAAATTTACCTATGATTTTAAAATTTAAAACGAATTCTACCTATGATTTGAAGAAGGTTTCTTCTTCGTCTTCACTCCGCTACACAAAACCCTAGCTCTAATCATTAGTTCTTCTGAATTCACCCTCTCCCCTTTTTGTTCTTCATTCCTCTCATTTTGTTCTAATTTTGCCATAATTCTCAATTTCCTACAGTTTCAAACGAAGAGTGTTTCGATATTCGAACAGCAACTGTAGCGAGATTAGAAAGTAAGTTGAATCCATACAACTTATTATATTCGGATGTATTACAGGCTGAGCTGGTTTCTTCTTCGTCTTCACTCCGCTACACAAAACCCTAGCTCTAATCATTAGTTCTTCTGAATTCACCATCTCCCCTTTTTGTTCTTCATTCCTCTCATTTTGTTCCAATTTTGCCATAATTCTCAATTTCCTATAGTTTCAAACGAAGAGTGTTTCGATATTCGAACAGCAGCTGTAGCGAGATTAGAAAGTAAGTTGAATCCATACAACTTATTATATTCGGATGTATTACAGGCTGAGCTTGAACTTTGTCAATTATTTCAGAATTTTTTTTTATATTCAGATGAAATGTTATTTACAGCTTATCAGTGTGATTTTTTCCCTTCTATTTATGTCATGCTTTTTTGAACAGCACATTTTTGTTTATATATATTGATATGAAATGTTATTTACAGCTTACCATAGATTGTATATGATTAATTATAGTGTTAATGAATCCATACAACTTATTATATTCGGATGTATTACAGGCTGAGCTTGAACTTTGTCAATTATTTCAGAAATTTTTGTTTATATTCAGATGAAATGTTATTTACAGCTTATCAGTGTGATTTTTTCCCTTCTATTTATGTCATGCTTTTTTGAACAGCACATTTTTGGTTATATATATTGATATGAAATGTTATTTACAGCTTACCATAGATTGTATATGATTAATTATAGTGTTAATATTCTTCAATTTTGTCTGCTTGTTATGTATTTTCCTTTTTTCCACTATTCCATGTATATTAAAAAAATATTGCAGGAGTGCTAAGTATGTCATATAAAAACCAAATATATTCTACTATACAAACAATTTAAAGTTTCCTGGGAGGTAAAAGATGTAGATAATCTTGTAAAGAATTGTTAGTTTGGGAGAACTAGCCTTTATCGTAGACTGCACCATAGATGGATCAATATCAGTGGATACACAAATAATATTAAGAAGAAATCAGACATGAATTTAAGCAATATAACTCACCACAGCCAACTCTTCAACCAGCATTTCCAGTGCTTTTGCTTTGCTAAGCTCGTGTCCACCTGAAAAAACAAGATTGAGGTTAAGTCTTTGATATATTAACCACAAAAAGAAAGCGTTGTTGCAAGCATCCAGGGAAAAAATGTGATCTCCGGGAAACAAGAAACTGTACATTAGTTGCTGTGAGATGGTACAATGAGAGAGCAGAAGGGCAAGCTATAAATAAGGGGGGCATTTCTGTAGGTCATAATTCCATCGTGGTTGGCAAATGGTGCAAAATTTGGAAAGCAAGTAGTAATCAAGATATGCATAGGCTCAAAAAATATTGAATACATACAGCAAGTGATTCAATAAATATAGAGGACATATCACCGACTATAACCATAGAACTAATATATTAGTTTAGCCACACAGCTAAGCTTGTGTATGGCCGAAATAAGTTATATTATATATTAAGAGCAATCATTATGGATGAGTATGGGAACCTATCGCATTAATATATCAGAAAAATGTACATACCTTAATGTCAAATTCTACATATCTAATTCAATAGATAACGTATCTAAATTTTAAATTCTTGCAGATCAATTTAGTCAAAATTTACCATTTTTTCTAGCTTATGTTTGTTTTCCTTTTCAAAATTTGCTTCTAAGAAACACTAGATGAGATACCTTCTTCAGTGGAATGCTCAACCTGGCATCAGCTCAACTTGCGCCATCGTGATGTAACAGTGACTTATGAACATGTAACAGGTTATGTTACTTATGATTCTTTTGCAGAAAACCCCAAAAAAGATAAGTTAATTTTCAGATCAAGGCAAACCATAAGTAAGCAATTCTGATAACAAAAGGAGATCAAGTACATGTATTAGAATAAAAGATACTTGTGATTTACTTCTCTTGAAATGTTGATTAATATACACAATACTGCCAGATATTGGTTTTATGCAAATAAAAAATTGTTATGAAAGCACAAATGTACGTTCATAAAAAAAAACTTCTATTACTTAAAATGATCGCGTGTTCATAATGTTGCACTAGACAGAGGCAATACTATCTAACAATTCATGGATCTACTGCTAAGATAGCAAGCAAAAATTGACTTACAAAAGAAAGAAAATCTACATATAATGTAAAAGATTACCCTTTCCAAGATCATCAGGGTCAGCATGGACAACAACAGCTCTTCCAATAATGGAATTCGGCCCAGTGAGTGGAATCTGTGTACATAGGACATTTTGAGGAT